ATCGCGTTAAAATTATTTATCAGAGAATAAGTGTGTTCACAGGTATCTATAAAATATAAGAGGCGACAATTTTGAATTAATGTATTTTTGCGAGTAAGTTGATTTACTGACAAAACAGTCAAACAAAATCAAACTTCAAGCTTTTATAGCTGCCATACAAACACAATATTACATGTTCTGTTTATATTACCTTATAAATTACATCAATAGCTCGCTAGAGAAAAAACAAAACAGCCAAATGAAAGGTGTTCTTTTTTTTTTAGAAAATCGACCTCCAATTTGCAAAATTTTTTAAATAGTCCTTGCTTTACGAGAATACACCGCCCTTTCTCTTCCACACACAAGATTACATTTGTTATTGTTATCAATGGAAAGAGTACACTATTACCTTTCTGAAAATACTAAATATGTTACGATATATCAAGTAGGTCACACGGAGGAGCTGGGCAAACTTTGACAAATATTGTCAAAGGGACACACTTTGACGAAATTTCAAACAAAAGTGGAGATAAATAATCACAGTAAAATTATTGACGATAAAAAATTCCTATTCTAAGAGTGGCCGAAAAAAGTTACATTGCACTACCAAAGAAAGGCGAAAAGTAGGAGTGAAACATAACACCTCAGGCAGGCGGGATAAAGGTCAGTTTGCGCCTTGGCTGCTCAAAGTGTCCATAACGCGAGAACGAAAAATCGCCCGAACTTGCGGTTTGCACTCCCTGTCAAAGAAGGGTTTTCCCCAAAACATTTTTTTTTTCGTCAAAATTAAAAATTTGACCCCAAATCCGTGCCTGAATTGATGTGAAAACACCCATGTACGGCATCATATTACAAACAATAATAAACACGTATATATGGTATTAGTTTTGCGGGAAATTATTTTTGTGAAGAAGGTGTCCTCGTAGAAAATAATCATGGTGATATCGGTGTGGCTTAAATCACGATTTAAATCATTTCGTTTTTTTTTCTCCACTTTGAAGTCAATGAATTCGTTGAAGATTAATTTCAGGACATAATAAATGCCTCGTTGTTGCGAAAAGTGCGGTTGCGCCCTCTAGAAGCTGGGAATGTTTCTCGTCGGAAGCCAGCCTGCAGTGTGATTGATAGAAGATGTAAAATTATTTTTCTGGTATATGTAAGAAGCGGATAACCTGTAGATGCCCTTCTTAGGTCTGCCCTATGCAGCCCTCATGCAACGTCACCCTCAACGTATAGGCTCGAAGAACCAATGTTCCGTCCGTGCGCGCTTCCGCCGCCACAACTTCGTACGTGAATAGGGTCATTTTCTCAAAACGCCCCCTATAGATCCCGCACGGAGCGTAGCGTATGGTATTACCCGTGCTTAAAAAGGCAAACACCTTACCTTATCTTTTTTTTTATATTTATGTTTAACTTACGTTTTACCTTATACATTAATGGTCTAAAGTCACGCCGCTGTGGTGGCGCTACTGTCGGCACGGCGCGCGGCTCTGTGTGGCGCCAGCGCGTGGATTCTTCGCCTCATGCAATTCTGGTTTGTGCGCATGCACAAAGCCCACACCTGGTGTGGGCAAACTCTGACTTGTTCGTAGACCGCTTGTCAATCTATAACTTGTATAACGACGTTATTTCGGGATATTAAACTTATCTTTTAGGACAGCAAATGCACTGTCCATATTATTTTAATAAATGCAGTTACTATATGATTGCTCGTCATCTTCCACGCTACAAAGAAAAAAACATTTTTTTTCCGTTTTGTGATTTTTGAAGCGCTCTGATTTTGTGTACGTGTACAAAACGTAAGCTAGTACAATGCGAACGTGCACCCGCGAATGCACTGGCTGTTTGACAAAAGCTTAGCAATGTCGTTGCGTTGGAGAACATAGAAGTTCGAAATCCAACCGATTTAATTTAGTTATTTATTTGTTTTGATTCGGGCGATTTTGACTCGGGTCTTTGGAGACGTTTAGCGAGTCGGTCAATCGACAGTTTATTCAACTGCGGTCAGTAAGAAGTTTTTCCTGCGCCGGCGAAGTTTTCAGAGAAGCACCTACGAAGTGTACATCAACGACGTGTCACCAAGAGTCGCCTGTATATATGCATGACCATAGAAAATGTTAGCTAAGTCTCTGATTTACGCACAAAAGGATATTCTGGGTTACTGAGGTGCTTATTTACACAAAGCTGTGGGACCTACGTTGGAGACTCTAAGATGACGGCATACGATTTAATATCATTCGAGCAGCGTGAAAGGTTACTAGATTAAAAATTTTGTTTCTATACTTTACCATAACAAACTGCGTATCGAGTCAGGTTTGTAGACTTGATTCCATTATCTTTCAAAGAAACTAGACGTCACCATCAGTATTATATGGTGAGAACGTTCGCTAGAACTAACAGTTTACATTAGTATGTCTTCCCACGTACCATATCTATTTGTAAAGCCCGTCCCCGTGATATTTTTCTCGCCAATAATTCTAATACAGCTTTTTCTAAATTCTGAATGCACATTCTAAGCGACGTTTCATTGCTGGTGTTAAGTCTTGTTTTGTAAATTCCTTTTGTGGATCAGAAGATGCAATATGATTGCCAGACTGTTGGCTGTTTATGGCTACGATGTAATTACATTTCTATTTGCTGGTGTGATTCGTTTTTCTTTTATTACGCCTGTTTATTGGAGCTTGAAACAGGGGATGAATTGTGTTTTTTTTAAATCTTCCTGAAAAGTTTCTTTTCCTTTTTTTGCTGTTATTTTCCTGACACCAGCGGGGGCCTATCCAAAATACAAGCGTTTCGGGCCGAACTAGCTCCAATCGCTCCAGCAATGACGTCACAAAGTCACGTGACCCACGATGGCATTGTTTAAAAAGGCCTGCAATCCAAATAAATAAATAAATAAGAGTGTGCCCCTTGAGGATAGATTTAAAAACAATGTCCCCCTTAGCGAGAACTAAGACGTTTGAAATATACATTTTATTTTGATTGTATTTCAAGTACAGTTCATATTTATAAGTACACAAAAAAAAACGCCGAAAATATACAATTTTTTTTTTTACTTAGTTCTGAAATATATTTCTGAAACTATTTTCAAAACACTTTTATTTAAACTACACCTGAAGTACCCTTCATGCATTCTGAAATATGTAAATACTAAATTAGTAGGCACAAAATACCTTTCCCATAGGTTTTTGAAAATATTAATATATTTAATGCAAAATATACTGCAACTCTAATAAAAATGCAGCGATCAAAACTATCTGCAGGATACACTCAAAACAAATCCCGTGCGTCTACTTTTACGCACAACACTCGGAAAACCAATCAGCGCAACTTACGGAGGCAGCTCAGCGAATGGCGATGCCGAAACATCTGTTTAGATCAAAAAACGCAGTCTGAGTTGTGACATTAAGCAATGCAAAACGTCGCGTTTGCATCGCTTAATGTCACAAACCAGACTGTTTTTTTTTTTTCTGTCTAAACATATGTTTCGCCATCGTCATTCGCTGATCTGCCTCCGTAAGTTGCGGTGATTGGATCTCCGAGTGTTGTGCGGAAAAGTAGACGCAAGGGCTTTTTTTAAAGTACATGCACTTAAGACATCCTGAAAATCGTAAATACTGTTGTGTTATACTCTCAGTATCTTTTGACTGCAATTACATGCATACAAAATAAATTAACATAAACTGCCGAAGTATTGAAAACTCGCCTATCAGATGTACACTTCAAGCGGATGTGGAGTACACTGAAGTACCTAGATAAAACATTTTATTAGTTTGTCAGTTGAGTTGTGCAGCATCGCACTGATAAATCAGCCCAGTTTATGACATTGTTTTCTCTTTTCTATCAAGAACGCGCCTGTTGAGTTTCTTGCACACCGATCATAAACGGGATTCAGAAACTACAACCACACTTGCTCATGCTGCAAAGCTTCAGAAAGTGCTGTGTGCAGATATATTTGGCGTGGTTCAGTTAGCACAATGTTAGTTCACTGAATGTGTATACTCACCACAGTATGTGATGTGAATAGTGACTTTAATATAGTGACTTTAATGACGTAGTGACTTTAATGACCATATTAAATAGTCAACTAGTAAATAAATACAAAATAACTATTTTAAAGTGGTGAAACTGCCTCGACTAGCTTCGTCCTGACTGGTGCTATGCAGAAAAGCGACAATATTTCATTAGGAGCCGTTTTTGTGGATGTTGTTTTAGCGACAGCGCCGAATTATTATTAGTTGTACCCATGCTTTTTAGTAAGAGATAGAGCTCACGAACTTTCAAACACTGGATTCCCTTTGACAGACTTCCAAGAAGGAGATCGGATACTTGGAACCTTAATAATGGCTGAGGTAGTCACGGGCCAAATGATTACCTTCCAAATGTAGGCTATGTAAGGCTTTGGAGCAGTCGACGGAAATGTGGTTCAGGTGATAGGCGCTCCATGGTTTTGGTGTTTTTGATCGTTTCTAAAGTGTACTTGTGGGATGTATGTAGAGCGTTCAAATACCACGAGACACCATTTCCTTGCAAAATCCAAAATATAAAAAAAATCGCGTTAATTTGAGGTAGCCATTTTGGAGCAGAGTGGAAAGCCGTAGTAAGCCTCCAAGGCTTTGTTGGATGAACAGCTAAGATATAAAGCATTTTTTTTTCCTTTTGAAAGGCTGTACCCTTTTGAGGAAAAAGCATATTGGAGACGACTTACAGTCTGTTCACTTTCTATTGAGAAAGTGGGCCAATATTCAAAAGAAAATCAACAGAAAAGCTGAGAAAGTCAAATGAAAATCCGCTGATATTTTATATCCTCTAACCACTTCTTTCAAATAGCCTTTCAACAGAAAAACACCAACTATTTTTGTAAAAACAAAACGCAGAGAGAAAAAAAATGACTCCTAAGCTTGAAACCTAGTTGCTCCCTGTCGCGCGTGTATCATATCTCAAGAAAGCTCAGGTGGCACTGATGACATCGGCAAAGATGGCACTAAGGGCAGACTTTGGGAGAGCGAGGTTGACTGTAGCACGGGCAACGAACGTCACGGATGTCGAGGCATACCATGGATTTGACGCTAGCTCCCCTGTGCCTTCTTCTACTCGCTGCCGGTGAGTCCGGACGGAAACAACCTTAAGGCCGAGGCCACATTGCTCGTATACATCGTGCAGAAGACGCGATGTTCGTTGTAGACGTTTCTTTTGTATACGTTTCATGCATTGTCTTAGGGCGATGCGTGTATAACCAACGTTACAGTGCGACCGCGGCCCCATAGACCGTTCCGGAGATACACGCCGTGTCCCGTCGCCTTTTGACGCACTATATGCGGCAATCTGACGTATACGGCGCGCGAAGGAGCGCGCCCATGAATAGATAAAGCGGTTCATTACTGGTTTTACTATTTTTCGATTTGAGGGTACAAAGAAAGCAGGACAATAAGAAATCGGTATCGGCTTTGCGATGTGTTCGCAATGTTCGTGTTCTGAACTCGCAGTGGGGAAGAAATAGCGCTGCTTGCCAACGGCCCCAGAGTTCCCCGCGACGCGCGTCGCAACGTACGGTCGACGATAGGCCTCACGGAATTTTCTGGAAAAAGGTATATTCTCGTTTCCGAGTTGACTGTTCGGGAAACTGCGAGAAACGTTACCCCTGGGTCACTGGGTGATTGATTTCAAGCGAAATCGTGTGGTGGAAAACATGCGCAGGATATAGTTGGGCTACCGCCTATATACCGTCTACCGGCGTGTAGTGAAAACTGACGCGTCCTGGCAAGCGAAATTTGAAAAGGAGGAAAGGTGATGAAACACGCGGGGCTATTGTCCCTATAAGCCGGTCCCGCGACGCTCGTTTGCAACTCGGTAGAACGTCCGAAACCCCGCAGACAAACGCCAGCGGCGCACACGGTCGCAATAGAGGCGCATCCAATCGACACCGCCACTTAGTATATTCGAAGCCCCCGAACACCCTCCACTGTATACCTCTGTGGAACGTCATCACTGTTGGATGACGTAGACTCGGCCGTTGGAAACAAACCCGATGTTTAGACGCGTTTGATTGGACCCGAGGCCCGGCCGAACGTTGACGCACCACTCGTGGTCCAATCACTCTCTCTCTTCCCTCCACCTCACTGTGACGTCGAGAAAAACTGCAGCTGACGATCCTCGGGAGCCAATCACAGCTGCGACAAAAGTAGACCGCTACTGCGCTCGTCGCGTCTTTGTGCGTTTGATCATATTACAGATCATATTACGGTCTTTACAGAAGAAGGCACAGAATCAGCCGATATGAATGCGTGATTGGTTAAACCGAAGACAGCAAAGGGACAAAGACGACAAGAGCGCCGTGACGATGCACTTTTTCCGCGTCTTGATAGGCAACATTGAATAATAACAATGGCATGCGGTATATGGGCTTATTTTTAAACGGTGCGGATGGTAAATGAAGATCTACGAAACACCCTAAGGGATTGTTCTCGCAGAACAGGATTAACTCTGCTTCGTTTCTAATGCGAAAGCATTAACTGTCCCTTAGAGCGAAGCCGGTGTCGCCTGTAGCAGCGAAAAACGGCACCTAAAGTCCGTGTGTAGCAGCGAAAACGGCGCCCAGGTTCCCATTGGCTGAACGAAACGTCGCCTAAATTCCCATTGGACAAAGAGCGCAGCAACGAAGACGTTTCGTCACGGGAAGCCGCCGGAGGCGCTCAAGGTAAAAGCGGACGCGCCTGAGAAATAAAACACAAAGAAAAGCACAGCCACGCGGATGCATCGTCGCGGAAGCCGTGGAGCCGGTGGGGTTCTCGGCGCCTGCGCACTGGGGGAGCGCGTGGTGTAACCGCCGGAGCGCCATGTGAAAAAGCAAGACGTGGTGCGCTGCTTTTAGGAAAGCGGTGAGTGTAGGAATGCTTTCGCATTCCTACACGTAATCAATCTTAAGTATATCTTCGTTTAACTTTCTTTTTAAGTGTCATTCAAAAACGCGTACGTCTTTGCACGCGCGCCTACGGCGAAGAAAACAACAACAAAAAACACACGTATTAAGGACGACGTAAAAGTTTGGTCGATGAATAGGTCTACTTAGTGCATAAGTTTCCTTTGAACTGCGGCCGCAGCTGAAGAAACGTGTGCGGGCTCGTGCCACATGACGGTCTCGGGTGCGCAAGAAACGAATGCCCGTGACTGGGAGTCTGGCATAGAAGCAAATAGGCAGCCTTCTCCCAGCCAGATGTCCGGAATGGCGTGCGATTGTTTTTAACGCTTTGCCGAGTCCCACGACTCGCGTGTGAATGCCCGCGCCGCAGAGCACGCGAGCTCGGTCACTCGGCCGCTGTCCAGAGCGATGAGCGAAGATTGCGCAATCACGGCTGCCGGAGCGGCGTCTATCGCCGTTTCAATCAAAGAGGAGCGCACCTCGTTAAAGCGATGCAAACGAGCGCTATAGCCAGCTGATAAGAAAGGGCGCGCGTGCACGCACTGCCCGCTGTTATCTGTGTGACGTCACTTCCGTGACCAGGTTTTCGTGACATCGACCTCCCAACTTTGCACCCACTTCCAAGCGCGGAGAAAGACGCAGTTCTATAGACCGAAACATCGGAGTGTATCGTGATCTGCGAGGACTACGGGAGTTTTAGCAGACGGCCGTCTGCGTTCCGATAAGATACCCGATATCGATACACGACACGTGCGGGAGCGCCCCGGCGGATTACCGCGTATCGTAATCGGAGTTATTAATGGTGTGCTTAAACTCGACATCTTTCTTTTTTTTTTTATCACGCATATATGTGTTATGGCCGTGGATTTTTAGGTCTTTATTTGTGAGGAAAACCGACGGATATTTTCGGTGCTTATTAATGCTTCAAATATTGGTGTATTCCGGTGATGCATTTAGGACGGATCCTAAAAACTTTGATTATTGGTAAAAAAAAACAAAAAAAACATAACCTTGAAAAACTACGAGTATACAAGTCTACGAGGGGAGTGTTTCGACAAAGACAGTTATGGCTGGAGCAAACATTTCTAGGAATATGTGTTTTTCGGTTTTAACCAATTTTTTATTTTTTGACACCGAGCGATGTTTATAATGTTTATCGGTTAAAAGTGGAAGATCTACGGTCTACTTATACCAAAGGTGTGATTTGTGTTTGTGTTTTGAAATCGAGTGCGGCTTTACGTTGATTCCATGAAGTGGTTATGTGATGTTCATATGTATTCGTAGATGGCATTATTCGAAATGGTGTCAATCATGCTTGCTATTTATTTACGCTGTATATGGTTTTCACCAATTTGCTAACTTATTTTGCCTTTTTTGTATCGTTTTCGTGTGTGATGTATTATTTGCCATGTGCATATATTTTGCCCTCGGTAGCTTTAGTGGGGCAGAGGCTGTGTGGACCTTATAACATTTCTGTCATGTACGCGAAGCGAATCTGTCGAATTAGATTAAAGAAAACGTAAATAAAAAAAGCTTGCTCGTTAAGCGACTTTAACCTTAGACCGACCAACGTTACTCAATCACCACAGTTGCAAAACTCCCGCGAAATGAAGCAACACACACACACACACACACACACACACACACACACACACACACACAAACACACACACACACACACACATATATATATATATATATATATATATATATATATATATATATATATATATATATCCATCCCCTGGAATTGAAATTAGAGGGGGGAGGTCTAAATTTTTAGGAAGGAAGGGGGGCGTTCAGAAAAACAAGGAGGGGTGTAGGCAAATCACTGAGCATGCATTCCGGCGCGTTGAACGACGGGAAGTGAATTGCGGGGGCAGAGGGGAGGTACAGCTTGTGCAAGCGGTATCTATGAACAGTTCCGTAACTGGGCTAATCTGATAACCTTGCCTTCAACCCAGTTTTTCTCTTAACACTAAACAAAGAGGTTTTTGAATTGGATATTTTTATGGCGCAAACTCCTACGCACTGTAAGCTTCCTAGTAAGTAACAATTTAAAATCATGCCTGTCCTTTCTTCCTTAATAAAAGCGCAAGCAAACGTCGGGACACGCTGCAGTTTTCTGAGACATCTAAAAAAACTCAACTCGCATCATAATTTACTTTCTCTACTTTCTACGAGCTGTTTTCTTTTCCTTTAGAGAGGAATATTGTTACTTGTAATCTGGTTTAGTTCAGATGTGTCTATAGACACATCTGAACTAACCCAGATTACAAGTCACAATAATTCCTTATCGCAAAGTTACTCAATTTTCAAATTTGATATGAAATTCTTTACAGGCAACGTTGAAAACGTGACGTCCGATGTTGTAATATGTGGGCAGTACAGCTTGTTGTTTCCGACGGGATTCGATCAGTTTGATAGTGTGAGATGAATGCTGGGTAAGTTCACGACTGCAAACAAAAGACGACAAAAAAACTCGAATACTGTGTTTTTAGACTGCAAGTTATACGACATGTGACATCACACAACCGGCGATCGCATGAAAAAAAATGTTATATTGTTCTAATCACGGTGCTTTTGGCAAGCCTTCATCTGCCATAGAAAAAATCGTAAGGGTGCAGGCGAGCTGGTGAATATTAACCATGTTGAGTTAACCTGAGACTGGGGCAGAGAAGAAACATCCAAACGTGGAAGGGACAGGAAATAGACAGGACGACGTCTCAAACTCAGCTGAGTTTGAGACGTCGTCCTGTCTATTTTCTGTCCCTTCCACGTTTGGATGTTTCTTCTCTACCCCAGTCTGAGGTTAATTCAACAGGCCTTCATCTGCTGTTTCCTCCATGGCTATTTTATTTTTAAAGATAATAAATACCATGTCGGAAAGAGTAAATTAAGCCTGGGTATTCCCAAAATGTACTTAGTCTGGGCAGCTCAGAAAAACCGTCGGTGCTTCCCGTTTAGCGCACTGCCCTTCAGCTGCAGAAGGCAGCTTCGGGACGACGCTGACGGCTGTCTTCAACTCTGGCGGCCTCCGGGGCCTTGTGGAGTTCAGTCCGTCCCCGTCGGGACCGGTGGTCAACGTCAGGGCGTCCCTGGTCGGGGGACAGTCCAAGGAGACCTTCCGCTGGGGCGTCCACCGGTTCCCGCCCAGGCACGACTCATCCGCCCCGTGCGATCCCATCTGGACCGGGGACATGTGAGTGACGCCAACCTTTGCCGACTGTTTCTTTGTTTAGTATACGGGGCCTGAAACTAGGCGCCTGAAGAATCTTCAGGGCCTGACATGAGAAGACTGAAGCATCTTCAGGGCCTGAGACCAGGGGCCTGAAGCATTCTTAGGGCCTGAAACTGGGGCCTCAACTTGAGGGCCTAAAAAGGGGGGCCTGAAGCATTTCAGAGCCAGAAATCAGGGGCGGATTCTTTCGTCTCTCACACTCCCAAAATCTTAGCGTCCATAAAATAATCTCGCTGCGAACTTTTCTTTTTTACAGCGGACCTGTTAAGGGCTAGTTTCCCCAGTTTCGTGTCCGTGGACAAACAAATCTCGACACAACGCTCTGGACAGCTACCGCCATCTATAGGCGACGACGTACAGGGGGAACAGCGCACCCGCAGAACAGTCATTTAAATCAACATACACACAAAAGAAAGACACACTTACTCAGCGCTGACTGACAACTCTCTATATTTACACTTCCGGCGTCGAGGCATCGAGGCAGAGAACATTGCGAAACATAACAGCACATGCGTTAGTACTCCGTCTTTAACCTTGTCACAAAAAGAATTAGACTACCTAGCTTTACATTAATTTCAATTTAGTTCACTATTTAGCATCATATCGAAAGAAAAACAAAAAAGTCCAGTTATTCTCCCTGGCCCTTGCATATAGCACAACTAGACGAAGAGGAAGTGTAAATATAGAAAGTTGTCAGTCAGCGCTGAGTAAGTGTGTCTTTCTTTTGTGTGTATGTTGATTTAAATGACTGTTCTGCGGGTGCGCTGTTCCCCCTGTACATCATGAGCAACCAACTCGCCCGAACCTCTGTGTTAACAAGGCGACGACGGCAACCAGACAACAGGCTTGTCGGTTGTCTGGTTGACGCTTGCCTTCATGGATGGCGGCACATACTGCAGCTTAACTGCTCCTCCTTCTTCACCAGAACGGAAAAGCTGAAAATTTTTTTTGTGTGTGTGTGTTTATTTTCTTACGTGTCCCAGGTTTCAGGACCTGACGCTCCGGTTAGGCGGCCTTGCCTCGGAGCAAGAGATGCGGTTTCTGGCACCGGGGCTTGAACTCTTCAGCGGCCGGGACCCCCTGGTCGGAAGGGCCCTGGTACTGAAGAGCGTGCAGACCGGTCGCTCCGCCTGCGCCACGCTCCTCACCAGCCTGTCGAGCAGGACTTACGTTGCGTACTTCGCTGGGCCGGTGGCCGGAACCGTGTTTGTGCGGCAGTGGGCCTCCTACGCCAGCGTCTATGGCGAGCTGTACTGGATGAACGGAACCAGGAGGGACTACAGGGTGAGAAGCTTCGCACCCTCCTCGCGTGCATGTGCAGATGTTGAGACACCGGAGTCAATTTCCGACCGTTTGAAAATTAACGTAGGTTACGAATATGAGAACAATCGGAAGGCTCTGCATTTCTTTTACGTATTTCTAGACCAGGGGTCCCCAAACATTTTGACTAAGGGGCAGGACTGGGGATTCGTCTTTGTCTCGAGGGTCGGAAAATAAACAAGAAAATATAAAACAAAAAAAAAAAAAAAAACTAAATATATAGTTAAACATGATGGTTTAAACCAAACACTGGTTGAAACCGAAAAAAGAAAACAGTAGAAGGGAAGGGGAAAAGTGGACGAACAAATGCAGTTCTTGCTCTTTTTTTTTTTTTTTTTGCTCCAGTAGCAGCGGGCCTGCTAGAAGCGGGCCGCGGGCTCTGACTCAGACACTGGGCGGGGAAGCCGGCGTGTCCTTCGACCGCCGCGCTTGGCCTTGGCGCTGGCCAATCGCGGTGGTCGGCCATCTCGCCGACTTCGTCGCCGAATGTCCAACGAGCCCCAGGGCATCACTGGAAAGACCGCGGACAGCCGCGGGCCGATCGGAACGCCTCCGTGAACCGGGTTTTGTAGACCCCTGTTCTAGACGAACGTTTGTAATATCCAAAATGTCAACATTTGTTTTTGTCTACTCTTCGTCAACCCCTGCACCCCTCCCCCCCCCCCCCCCCCCCCCAAAAAAAAAGAAAAAAAAAAAGAAAGAAAAGGTCTTGTGGAGTTTTGCAGAACTTATTCCAGTAAAAAGAAAGACTTGCCAGCAAGAAGGGAAATTATATGGTCTTATGAACAAGTGTTCCCCGAAATAAACACAGGCTCCGACAGTGTCGTTTCTTGGTATGATGATTATTAGGCTTAGGCTCAAGTTTTTGCATTCTAACACAAACGTTAGCGTTGGTGATAAGATGCGATAGAATGCGGGCCAAAAAATAGGGTTTTATTGGGGAGTTTTCGTAGATGGTTTTCGCCGTCCCGCAACGCTCCCCGCAACCCGCACCGATAACCGAAACTCTACAATGAACGTCATCGGCGCGCAGGCGGAGTAGCGGATTCTTCGTTGCGGAGGGCTTAGCGGAGCGGAAAACGCGGTCTACGAAAACTCCCTATTCTTTCACGGACCCGGTATAAAGCACAGTCCAAAAAAAAAAAAAAGCTGCCCTTTCTTTTTTCTTTTCTTTTTAACAATTTACGCTTGCTATTTACGCTTGCCCATAAAGCGTACGGGAGTGTATGACCGAAAAGTGAAGGGATTGCGTGTTCCTGGACGCCGAAGACGGAAAGGTTGAGAGGCAAGGGAAAAGCGCACACCGCGGGCGGGAGAGGGAGAAAAGGCCCCCTTTAGTAGCTTAGAGGTAAAGAATACAACGTTCCCGAGGGTAGGGTAATTGTCGACTTCTGGCCACTTTAGGACACTATAAAACGAGTTTGGGCTCGTTATAAGAAGTAAAAGTTTGATTAAATTCATTACGCTCTGTCCCCAAAGGCAACCACAAATTTCGCCGGTTCAGGAGGTTCTGGTATGGAAATACGTGATCGAAAAAAAAAAGTATATTCCGTTTCGCCTTACGTCCGAGCACAGCGGATGTTACAAGCCATCGGAGCCGATACCAAGGCCCTGTGTGGGTCGCGTGAACTTAAAGAGGGGGCACAGCGACATGCGGACAGCGCATCACGGACTACGTTCAGAGAGCGGGATTGGCTGGGATAACTCGTAGGCGTGCGCTGCTCCCGGACGCAAGGTGACTTTTTCCTCTCTCTCCTTCCTAATCCGCGCGTTGTTATACCCTCAGAATCTCCAATCCTGTTTTCTACCAGGTGTCGTAAGTTATGCTCAAAATAGCGTTTCAGGTTAGCTGCCTGCCCGACTGTCCAGGTGCAGTGGAGCCTGCTGCACAGCGGGGCAGCGCGACCTTCTGGGCGTCAGGTACAGCAGAGCCTGGAGTCAACGGGGGTACCCGTGAACGTCCCGATCGAGAAGCCTGACGGTCTCGTGCCGTTCTACGTCCCACCGGGGGTAGCCGCCCAGCTTTGGGTTGGAAAGGCAAGTCGCCATGTCTGTACAGCGCACATTGTAGATCTAGAGTGGCGTCAGAGGACCACAGAAATGCTGAGGTTTTCTCAGCAATCCGTCGGTGGCGGGGTCAAATATAGTATGAACCCCACCCCAGGTCTGGTGATGATCGATCAATGACATGGAACTAAACTTTATTATGCGTATGAATATCTGCAAGAAATATATCCTCCTAATTTTACTTCTGTCCAAAAGGAGAGAGGCCCGTGACGTTGTTCTACAAAAGGTTGCAAATAGCGCTATTGACTCGGCTCAGCCCGTCCATAAAGTTAATTTTTTATGTAAATTTTCGTTTTACCAGACATTTAATTTTTTTTTTTTTTTTCATTCACCACGCTACATTTCACCCTTTTCTCGCATCAAGTGGCCTTATAAGAGTGACCACTCCGGATCTCGACATCTGTGTATCAGCCTCTTTGTCAGCCGCCTGTTTAATAATTGAATTTTACTAACTAGAATTATCAGGGTTTTTTGGGGGTTTTTTTCGTATTATTTCTGTGTGCGTGTTTTTGAGTGTAATTATGTATATATATATATATATATATATATATATATATATATAATGTTTCTGTGGAGGCCCGCGCGCACCAATCGAAAAACCATTGTGGTTGGTTTCGGTGATTTTAACTAATGTTTATTATTATTAGTGAAACCTGTTCAGCTGATTGGAGCTAATAGCTACCGAAGTAACAACATGGCAAGCTGGGTTAGATAGATTACCAATAAAAAAACTCAAACATAAAAAAATGCAGACAGGTGAACAAATGATATGTTCCCGTTTGTTTTTCTATGGAGGAAAAAAATTTTGAAAAGCATCCGGCGACTGCATGCTGACGTGAAGCCTGTCTAGAGTCTCTTTAACGCTCCACCTTTAACTCGCAGTCTCCACAAGCCCCAACTACAAGGACCTATCACGTCTTCTCCGACCTGATGTCCTTGGAAGCGGTGGCCATGGGCAACCTCCAAGTGGCTCTGAGAGACGCAGCAGGGACTCTGATCTCTGTGGTGGGCCTGCTCCTGTGGCGACCCAAGCACGCAGTTGCAAACCTGGGCCAAAATAACGGCAAGGTACCAATTCTTAAGCCCGATAACCCCAAGAGTGTGGAGACCCAGACGAAAATCACTCCACTTCCAGCTGGATTCTGGAACTGGAAATGAGGCAGTCCATCTGGATTCCAGCTGGGTCCAGCCGGGTCCAGCTGGAATCCAGCTGGACTGCCTCATTTCCAGCTCCATAATCCAGCTGGAAGTGCACTGATTTTCGACTGGGGAGCTGCATGTGAAGGGTGACTGATACGAAGGTATTCTCGTCAACTCAACTAACATGTTTGTTTTTGGCTTTTTTTGAAGGTCATCTTTCACCAGAGTTCGCCCTTCGAGCCAACGCTGACCATTGTCCAGTTAAAGAACCCACACTTCATTGCGGAGGAGTACAAGATTGCCGAGATAGCCATTGGTACAACGGACACTGTGTGTCCGACTCCCATCATTACCTTCAATCCTGCTGGAGTAAGTTCTACTGTTGACCGAGAACGGGAACAGAAAGAGCGTGACTGTGCTCATGGCTCTAGCTTATAACCTTGTTAACAGTTAACTTCAAAAGATAGTTTGGTCACCACAGGTGAAAAAAACACTTTGTTGGGGCACCAGCTTGGCAAATGTAAGCATGTCTCATCAAGACTTGGCTATGAAACATTAGTAAGACTTGACTATTAGACATCAGCAAGCCTTGGCTATCGGACAATCTATACCCACCAGCAGCAAGATCGCAGCACCCAGTTTCCGATTTCGTGCCAATGCGATGACACTGGCTGTAGAACAAAGCATGTACGAACGCTTCGCTCCTCAGACAAGAAGCTCCCGCGCATTCGTAGTGCCCGCCGTTTCTGCGGGCAGACACACCTGATTACAAGCAAGAAATGGATATACACACCTTTTGAGTGTATCAAAGGCGAACAAATTCCATTTCACTGTGCTGGGATGCATGCATGGCATCCGATGCTTGTAGAAGACAGCTTTTGCAGATGCTCAGAATGCATTCCACAGCCCAATAGACCCTTCCGGAAATCCGCAGCGCCTCCCATTGTCTTTTAGACGTATTACGGCAATACAATGTACGACGTGTGACGTAGCGATTCATGTTTCTTAAGCATTTTAAGGTTTAAAAATGCAAAGAAAGCAGGACGACAGCAAAACAGGGTACATATCGCCTTTGTGATGTGTTCTCTCTCATTTCTTTGTGTTCTGAACTCGCAGTGGTAAGAGGGGTGGAATTGAACCACTTGCAGGATGTATGGAGGGTTTGAGCAGGCCTCGGGAACGGCCTCACAATTCCCCTTTCCGCGCGGTGCAACGTGGGATTGACGAATGGCCTTGCGAGATTATCCGAAAAATTCTACCGCAAAGATGGCAGTGCAATTTTTTGGAATAGTCTATACTTGTTGTGGGTATGTACTCCATTTCAAGGTCAAGCCCTTCGAGACTCCGCCAGCAGGCTGGGGGACGTCGGACCAGTATGCGGTCGGCGACCTGACCGGCAAGTACGGCTTGTTTTCCGGCAAGGCCGACGTCTACAGGCAGCTCCTAGATCCGACGTTGCCAATGTCCGGACCGGAGAGCGTTGTTGGCCGCATGCTGGTCGCTTGTGGCAGAAACGGCGTGCCCCTGGTCTGCGCCAACATCCTCCCGGTTGGAAGAAGGCTGATTCGTGGCCGCGCCACTTTTGACGGCATCGTGCGTGGGTCGGTTACCGTCACCCAGGTAAGTGGCACAATTAAACCTCCCCAAGACAGTTTCGCTGTCCTACCTTGAGTCCGTTGCGTTTCCAACTGGAACCAGTTGAAATTAGTGAAGTTTCTAACTGGCTTTTACCTGCAAGCAGTTAAATTTTCATCTCGGTATACTTCAACTGTAAATTATGGAGGCACTCAACATGTTGCGAAAGCAGCCTACATGAGTGCTACTTCGGCGATTTAATGAGGCTGTAGTACTTTAGTAGGTGCTCTGTGGATTGTTGCAAGTTTAGAATAGCAGAACTCCAAAGCTCTCCGCGCGCCATGATGGGTGGTTTCCACCTCTCCAGCATTTGCTCTGTTAAAGGGGAAAGGGCGGAAGGCTCCGTAGGAGGAGCTTGTCCTGCTGTTCTTAACCTGCAGTTGGCTATAGTTACGAACATGTTCGATAGCCAGACACATTCATTGATCGCATGCCACACTGAAGCTGTCACTGCGAGACTTCTGAACACAGACATTGTTATAATGTCATTCGCACACGCGTGGAACTTCTTCTCTGTAAACAGTCCTGCAGCGATGGGCTCAAAGATGTTTCTCGGAGCAGGTTGAAGACGATCCGCTAGACGACGTTTACGTGGACATCGGGGTGTGCTGGACGGGACCGAACAACGGCAGCGTGGACCACAACTGGCACGTGCATTCAAAAGCCCTAGCGCCCGGGTCGGCGGACTGCATTTCGACAGGCGGCCATTACGATCCGCACAAAGTTGCCCACAACTCGGTGTACGAGTGTGAGTGTTCTGCAAGGGCGCCATGGCGGTGTGAGGCTGGAGATCTGTCTACTAGGATGGCTACCGTGTCATTTCCCTCCTGCTCCGAGACCATGGCAAGGTGAGGTCTCTTTCAAACAGACTAAGGTAAACTTTTCTACTTACGCTCACTGCACCGGGTGTTGGGAATCTCACAAAAATAAACTCGCATTAACTCAAAATTTTTGGCGAAAAATAAACTCAAAACTCCCTCTGGATCTGGCGAAAAATAAACCCAGAAAACACAGAACAATAACCATTAAAATGCAATTATTGCAAAGATGAAATCGAGCTGCACAAGAATGACAACAATAAACCCCGGAGAAGGGGAACAACGAGGACAAAGGAGAAACAGAAATCTCCAAACCCAGCTAAGTGGGCTGGCGTGCGACCGAAAGAAATCCACCTGGTCCTGGTATCGAACCAGGGACCTCTCCATTTCCAGTGGAGCGCTCTACCAACTGAGCAAACCAGGAGTTAGGCGTCAGTAGAGCAAACGGGTTTTATCAGCTGCCACCAGTCTAACACCAACAAGAATGAACGGCCTGCATTTTAAGGTATATGGTTATAACGCAATTAATGCAAAGGTGCTAGCGAGCTGGACAAGAATGAGAATAATAATCCCTGGAGAAGGGGAAAAAAGGGGAGAATGGACAAACACAAAATCTCCAAACACAGCTAAGGGGGCTGGTGCGCGACTGAAAAAATCTGCCTGTTCCTGGTATCGAACAAGGGACCTCTCCATTTCCAGTTTTCCGCCGCGCACCAGCCCCCTTAGCTGTGTTTGGAGATTCGTGTTTGTCCTTTGTTCTCTTCGTTCCCTTCCTCCGTGGATTATTATTGTCATTGTTGTCCAGCTTGCTTGCATCTATTAATTGCATTATAATCATAACCTTAAAATACAGGCCGTTCATTCTTGTAGGGGGTAGACTGGTGGCGGCTGATAAAACCCGTTTGCTCTAGTGACGTCTAACTCCTGGTTAGCTCAATCGGTAGAACGCTCCACTGGAAATGAAGATGTCCCTGGTTCGATACCAGGACCAGGCGGATTTTTTCGGTCGCGCACTAGCCCCCTTAGCTGTGTTTCGAGATTTGTGTTTCCCCTTTCCTCCGTTTGTTTCCCCCTCTCCAGGATTATTATTGAAAATAAGCATACAGCGCAATTATTTACTGTATCTTTCAGCACCATGCATGCACTCCCCATTTGTTTCCTAGGGTAGCCGGGAAAAGCTTGTCACATCAATGACTTCTCAAACATACCTCCCCAGGTACCACTTTTCTGGCTCCAACCTGGCGCTGTCGGGCCCGACCAACGTGATTGGGCTTCCCATCGTAATCCACGACGCCCATTACACCGGGCCCCGTGTGGCGTGTGCCAATATCCAACGGGTCTGAGAGGTACCTGTGCCAGCCTCCACCAATCACATATGCAAGCTGGGGGGCAAAAGCTCGCACCGAATAAACTGGAACTTTCACCTCTTGTGTTTTGCTACTTTATAACATGCGGTCCAGTATACATGACGTGTTGACGTGAATTATCCAGACAGTTTCAATAGAATTTATGTGGCTTGAACCAAAATGGAGACAGGTTTCTCTATTATCTAGTGTCATCTTATGAGGCCAGACAGCAATGAGAGAGTGAAATTGAAAAAGTGGAAGGATTTGACATCAAACAAAAACACGGAGAGGATCAATTAAGAAGCTAGGAAAGTAAAGGAAGTGAGTTACACGCGGATTTCGGCATATTGTAGAGTCAGACGCCTTTATAACGAAGTCAGCGTGACCGACGAAATTTTTCGTACTAAAGGTTACTTCGTTGTAGTGATTGAGCGGGAAAATCGATCATGTGAAACCAAATTTGTGATATCGCATATTGATGTACCTGCGCAACATTCGATGTGTTTTAGAAAAAAAAAATGGGCCGAAATCGCTGCTGAAGCCACGCTGATTCTTAAAGAAATACGTTAGCATTTCGCGCAGCGTCTCTGTACATATGACAAAGTATGGTGAATGCAGCCTCTCGGCACATTTTTGCGTGGTGAAGGTTCTCGAAAGCCCTCTTTTTCCTGGTGCAAGCAGATTAAGTCACTTAGCGTGGGCGTGAAGGACGCGCGTGTGATGCGCGGAAAATGACAGAGCCATTTCGTTGTTGTGTACACAGGGGCGATGACACCGTGCGCTTACGGCCCGGTGACATGGTAAGACGACTGCGCGTCAGGAAGAACGGCGTCGCAGGCCGAAGAACGGAACCACAGCCCGTGTTTGTCCAAAGCCGGCGGCAGGAGTTTCCGAGGGCGTCCGAAGCGCGCTCCCGTGCCCCGGCCGCTTATTTCGAGAGGCTAGGCGATAGGACGCATAGCAACGGCGGCCGCACAGGATTGGCTGGGTATAAAGAGCGACTGCGTGACGTAACACCCAGCAACCGAGGTGCAGTGGGAGACAGAGGGGCTGGGACGTTTTTGGGTTGCCGGTAGGGCGCCGCAAGGCGGCGTGTAGGGGGCTGATATTTTGTAATGAGCCATCCGCCGACTGTCGCCGCGAAACGGCGTGAACCCAGGGAGGGTTAACATGCGCCCCAGTGGTATACACCCGCTGTCCCCTACTGGGCGTCGCCGGCGATCTTCGCTTGCCATAGGTGTTACGTCACGGCGTCGCTCCATATAACCTGCCAGTCCAGTGCAACCTCCGTTGCTATGGGTCCTATCGCCTAGCCTCTCGATATACGCACCCCGCCGCCAACTGTAGGCGCTTGCAGAAGGTGTTTCCTAGCCAGTTTCCACAGCCATTGGGGCTGTGGGGCCATCCCGTGGCGACTTTGCGAACTTTAAATACGTGTGCTTCAAACTAGTCCCGTCCGAGGTCAGCGCATGTACGACACAGATCGCCTACAATAAGAATGGCAAAAACAAGTAAAACCTTAAGTTGCTGTACAGGATGCTTCAATATAAAGTTTCGACTTTAAAATTGCCGGCAAAAATTAGGGATTCGACGTATCAGGTCGACACTTACCTCAAATACGTAATTTACTGGTCGGATTTTCACATTAAAATTTTAGGTCCCAGTTTAAAACTTTAAAAAAGTCGATGCTTTTAAATGAGATTTTTTTTTTTCTCTCGCGTACTTGAAGTAGAGACTTCAAATTTGAATCTGTCAATGGGACTAGGAAAATACTTAGTCAAGGTATGTTGTGTAAATGGGACTAGTAAAATGCGTATCTCAGGTAAGTTTCAACTCGATACGTGAGCCGCTTATTTTTGAGTGTCTCAAAAAAAGTTACATGCTACAATGAATAGCCCGTCAAAAATCAACGACTCAGCGTATCAAGTTGAAACTTGCCTCCTGTACGTATTTTACTTGTCTCATTTACACAATCAGAATTCAAGTCTCCATTTTAAGTACGAAAAAAAATAAATTATAAAATATGACCTTCCTTTTGGCAATTTTTTTTTTTTGTATTTGAAATTAAGATTTAAAAATTTAATGCGCAAATTCCTCCAGTAAAATACTTATTCGAAGTAAGTTCCTACTTGATACGTCAAGTCTCTGATTTTTGTGGGCAATTTTATAGTCAAAACTTAATTTTGAAACACCCTGTAGTCGTAGAGCAGCAGGTTTGCAGTGAAACAGAAGTTGCAAGCGCGTGTATGGTGCTTGCATAAAGCATGCGCTGCACAGGTGTGTATGCGCTACAGGCAGTCTAAAGCGTGAGGTCGTATGGCTTCGTGCTTACTTCACACATAATTCACACGCGCAAGTTGGAAGCACCGCGAGCTCGCGCATACGTGAAGCTACGCGCTCGCGAAGCTGTCATGCCCACAAGCGGTACCACGAGCAACATTACATTTGTATTTGACGCTTTGATTTCTTCAAATGAGCTGAAACTTAAAAATTCTACCTCCAAACGCTACAAAGCGAGACTAAAGACACCGGACTCAAACGGGCCAAAGAGCGCTGGGTGGGAACGGCTCGTGTTCCGTTCTTGCTCTTGAGCAGGCAAACGTCTGCGCGGCTACGCCGCTGAATAAACCCACCCGACCGACGCCTGTCAATCGATAACTACTACATTTATGAATACGTACCCACCCTGCTTACAGAAGGTTACGCAGGAGTACGTTGGCATCGTGGGCCATGGAACTGGCACAGTCAAACTAGCGCCTACCGTCTATGCAGTGTATGCAACGAAAGCACCAGTAAGTACCCTGGAGTAAACCTGTGCGCCGCCGCCAACAATTTTTTCTTTTTTTTCTGGTTTTGGGGGGGGGGGGGGGGGGGAGCGATTTAAATTTTTCTTTCTGCTTTTGTATGAGCCTGATCTACTATACTATGAATAAATAAATAAGTAAATATATCGGTGTGTCTGTAGGCTTTTTCTCTTTTCATCTTTACTCATGTAAATATATCAATAAATGTAGAAGTGGAGAGAATGCAGGAGTACATCATTCCAAGAGACGAACTTTCACAGTGGAGGCGATGTAGCTCTTTAGCATTTTGCATTTTGTTTTCTAAATTCAAAAGACTCCTTTCTCTCTCCCCCGCACTCCTTAATTTACACCTCGATCGTTTTTTTATCTCTTTTGCGACCTTTTGAGCGAATGTACAAATGAAATCATTGAGAGCAATCCCAGGTGCTCGGCAGTGTTAGATAGTGACTTCAATTATACATTTGTTGAATGGAGTGGATGTTCCCTCCATCCAGGTTGTCGTGAATCATACGAGTGCAGGGAGTTTTTTTGTCTTTCACTCAATCCTGCAACCTCACTCAAGTGGTCACTAATCCAAAACGGGGTGATTCTATTCTTCACTTTGTCGTCTGATCTTGACTGTATTTCCGCTCGCTATGTTTTAGAAACTATTAGCGATCACAATGCCATACTATTCAACACTGCATTCTCTCCTGTACAGCGGAATGCCATTAGAGAAATGTTTCTAACTATTCCAAGGCCGAATTAAGCAAACTGCAACGCTCTTTAAATTCTTTTGCTAATGAATTTTCGTCCCCGTTTGAATTGCGATTCGTAGCAGAGAACTGGGCTTTGTGGAAAAATGAAATAAATTTTCTTATACTGAATTTCGTCGCATCTGTGTCAACCAGAATAAACATAAGCCCTTGGTTTCATAAGTATTTTCAAAGGCTGCTCAACAAAAATAAATCTGTTTTCTTTAGCGAAGGAGAGAGGTTCCCCAGAGTCTCGGGCTAAATACCATGCAAGCAGCCAGAGCATACAAATGGGAAGTAAAACAGATCAAATAGAAGCTTTTCAATCACGATTTGGCAAACATGATATGGTGCAATCCAGTTATAGCGATGTACCACTTATCATGATCAGTTTCTAGACTAGGAAGATCAGTTTCTAATTTAGATACGTCAATAATTGGTTATAGCGATTGAAATTTCGGCTTTTCTCATTATCGTCATATTGCTCTAGTTCAATAGTTTTCAAATAGGGTCCGGGAAGACATTTTAGGGGTCCGCGAAGCCCTGCCTCATCATGAAGCCTGGCAAACAAGTTGTCTTATTTTAGATCAAAAAGGAATTTTTCAACTTTAGGGCGTGTTTTCTCGTGTTTGTCAATATGAGAATTCGACTTCACACTAGCCCTTAGTGAAATCAATTTATTACATTATATTTAACCTATACCTCCCCCTCCCCTTGCCACGAACAGGGTCCTCCATCATCTCCGCCGACCGGGGTCCGCGAAACATCGATGGTTGAGAACCACTGCTCTAGTTTGTATTTTTCCTCATTTAAGACGTCCAGTCGTCCTTTAAGGAATGGAGCAGGAACGGAAATATTTCTTAGGCCCATTTAATGCACATTACCCGTGCACACAAGAAACAATATTAATAAATTATTAATTTACATTCCCACACACAAACATAGAATAGATACACATCACATGGATGAATGTACAATGTTATAAAACACTCATATAGATTTACAAATGTACAGAAATATTCACCTACATGTCTATGTACCGTAATATCCCGAGTCATCGCCCACCCCCCTACCACCTGAAATTCATTAAAAAAGGGGGGTGGGCCATGTCTCGGTGGGTGAGCACAAACACTTGAAAAAAAGCGGAAAAAAAACGCCTATTTTTCTCTGCGTATCTAGCGCTGATGCACAAGAGATACATCAAACTCAAAACTCGATTTAGTTTCATTGTTTTATAGAAAAAAAATGCTCACGAAAGAATATTTTCCTATAGCGAAGTCCGTTGCTTGCATATGCGCTAGAAACACCGCCGATCTGCATATAGCGCGAACGTTTGTTCCGTGAAAGAATGTCACCACTATGTTCTCCTAGTTAGTAAAACAAAAAAAAGAAAGAAAAGTCTACAAGAAAATAGAAAAACCGACCAGGCCCAACGAGCGAGCGAGCGGACCAAAGAAGCGACCTAGAGCAATGCTGGGAAAGCGGGAAAGCCGGCGGTCGCGTTGGCAAATACTTTGGCGTCGGGCCAAGTCGGGCGCC